GTGCTCGGCGTCGTGGTCATCGTCGCCCCTGCCGGCGCCGGAATGGGCGCCACCGCCAGCTGCTCCTGCAGCCAGCGAACCTGCGTCGCCGGGCCGTAGCCCTTGATGTTCCGCGCGGCGATGCGGAAGATGATGGCCGGCTTGTTCAGCTGGTCGAGGTACGCCGACTCGAGGTAGTCCTGCGTGACAATGCAACTGGCCGAGGGGCCGCTGTACACCTTCAGGAAGGACAGCGTGCCGACGGGCGTGTTGGGCAGGGCGTTCTTAATGGCCAGGTACACCGAGTACTCGAGAATGTCGTCGGTGTTGAGTATGCTCCAGCTGATGTGCGCCCCCTCGGGGCCCTTGGTGATCTTGATGGAGGTGGGCGCGGCGGGGTAGCCGGGCAGGCAGGTCTTCAGGTTGGTGAAGACCTCGCTCCACGGCCCGCGGCCGCAGGGGTTGATGGCGGCGACGCGAATCTTGTAGGCGGTGCCCGAGCTGAGGCCCACCTTCTGGAAGCCCGTGTAGAAGGGCGGCGAGTGGGGCAGCAGGTCGCGCTCCGGGTCGTACCGGGTGGCGGCCTCGCCGCTGAGCGGCACCTGGAAGCCGGAGATGGTGCACTGGTTGCCCTTGACGATGCCCACGTCGTACCACTGAAACTTCTGCACCAGAGTGTTGCTGCTGCTGTTGGTCTCCGGAGCCTGCTGAGGCGGAAGCATTAGAGTGCTGGAGCTGGAGCTGACGGCAGGCGCCTGAGTGGGCGGCGTGGCGATGGTGGACACTGCGTTCACCAGAGGGTTCAGCGATACGGAGTTGTTGTGGTTGTTGTTTGTGACGGCGATATTTGCAGGAGGGGCCGGCATTGAAGGAGGCAGTGAAGAAGAAGAAGGTGGTGGTGGAGCCAATAGTCTAACAGCTGGTACTGTGATGCCTGCCACATTAGCCAGGGCGACTGAGTTGAGCGCAGCAGTAGCTGCATTAGCTGGTGCAGGCGTAGGCGCAGTCACAGCTAAAGGCTGCTGCTGGAGTTGACCTGCTGCTGCTGCTGCTGCTGCAGGAGCTGCTGAAGAAGCTACTCCAGTAATACTAGCAGAAGGAGTTGGCTGACTGTTCGCTGGTAACTGCTGTTTGGCCGATTGCTGATCACCTCCTGTGGCTTGATCAGCAGCAGTTTCGGCCTTTTCAACGACACTGGCCGAAGCTAAAACCGGCGCTTGTTGAGGTGGTGGTGGTGGTGGTAATGGAGGCTGTGAAGTCTGCTGCGGCGCATCGCTTGGCAAAGCTTTAGCTGCCGACGAATCGCCGCCAATTGTTGCTGATGCTGCTAATGTTGATGATGATGATGATGCTTGTGAAGTTGATGCTCCAGCCGATGACGGTGGTGGTGGTGGTGGTTCATCGTCTGCTCCATCCGTTTGCGGAATATTGCCAGGCGGCGTGCTGGTCGCTGCTGCTACCGCTACTGCTGGCGTCGTACTTGAAACCGTAGCATCAACAGCTGCGGCAGTAGCTGCACTGGAAAGCTTCACCGTCGCTGGATTGGGCACCGTGATCGACCCACCACTGCCCCCCGCTGCATTGACAATCGCCGCCGAGGTGGTGGTCAGCGTCTGTCCGGCGGAAA